GGGGCTGGTCATGGTGGAGGCCCGCAAGGAGAAGCAATTCCAGAAAGTGGTGAGCCCTGCGGGAGGGCGGGGGGGGGGGGGACCGGAGGGGAGGGACTCTGGGGCCAATGGGCTCTGACTCCGCCTCCCTCTTCCAGATCACTGAATACGTGAATGCGCAGGAGGCTGCCAAGAGTGCCCGGGTAAGTGGGCCCAGGTCTTCCCCCCATGGGGGGGGGTGAGGGAAACACCCCCCACACACCCTGTCTGAGTGGGCGGGGGCTCTCTCCCCGGGGGGCTCATTCCGCTGCCTTGTCTCCTTGTAGCTGAACCTGTGGCGTTATGGAGATTTCCGCGCTGACGATGCAGATGAATTTGGCTACAGTCGCTGAGACCCTCCACCTCCCTGCCCCCCCCCCCACCGCCACAGCCTGTGCCTGCAGCTAGAGCCTGGCGCCTGCAGGGGCACAGGGAGGCACTCAGACCTCCAGGGAGCAGGCCCTGCAAAGCAGGGGAGGAGGAGGAGGAGGAGGAGGAGGAGGAGGAGGAGGAGCGCTCCCCAAACCGCCCCCAGCAGCTGCACCTGGCCTCTTGATGAGCAAGCAGGAGAAATGATTTAAGTCGAGCTTTGGAAGCAAATAAAAGTAGTGAGAAGCTGGGCCGGGCGCTGTCTTCTTTGCTTGGGTGGGGAGGGGCCCCCACTGGTCTTTTGCTTCTCTACCCACCGACACGCAGCCCGGGTGGGGTTGCACAAGGGGGGCTGGAGGTCCCTTTGCACCTGTTCTGGGGGCCCTGCCGGTTAGATTATTTCCATTTCGTGCGGAGGCGACAGACAAGGGGATTAGCTGGGCCGTGTGGCGAAGGCAACCTATATAGGGCTGGGATGGGCAGGGCGAGCATTGAGCGGGCTGGGCGAGTAAGCGGCAGCGGGGCGAGCGGGTGGCAACTGGGCGCGGGGCGGGGCCAGCCAGAGGTCGCTACCAGTTCTGCGAATTAGGTCAAATTTTCCTTACCGGTGGGAACCGGTTGAATAGCAGCTCTGCTTCACCAGAAGCCCTTTGCCCTGGGGGCGCCTTCCTCTTGAGGGGGCGTCATCCACGGGGGGGCCGGGTGTTGATTGAGGACAGGGCCCCCGGCTGCCCTGGGGCTCTTTCAGCCGGAGAAGAGCTCTGCAGAGATGCTGCTCCCCAAAACTATTCGAAGGAGCAAAGAGGAATCCAGGCATGTTTCTGTTGGACAAGCTGCCATCACGAAGATCCTGGGCAGCCCCGTTTCTCATGGGCCCCACATGAAGGGGGGAGGAAACCACTTTCTTCTGCGTAGGTGGATCAGTTCCCATCCCTTCCTTGCTGGGTGGAGGCCGGCTGATGCCCCTTCCTCCCTGGATGGGCAACTGATTCGCAGATAGGCTGGCACTGCCTCCGTCCCGGTGCTGCGTCTCGGGTGTTGGCAGAGCTGATTAGAAGCGATCCCAGCAAATGAACGGGTGGGGCCCTTGTACATCAGGGGCCACACCGACAGACGGAGCGCTTACCTCTTTCACCCCGCACGCCTGGGGCGCACAATCTTGGCACAATGGTGGCAATTGTGGCAAGGTCACCTCCCAGGGCTGGCATTTGGAGTGACGGGGGACATTTCTCTGCTTAGCCAGACCCCAACATGGCACCAAATGGCATTCCCAGAATTTCAGGTCACCTTGCGACCGGCTTTCCTCTCACCCTCGTCTCTGGGGAAAGTCGCACAGCCGCAGGAGCCTGGCATTTGGAGTCTCCACAGGGTTCCTGGGACCTGGTAGTGGGGAGGTTGTCCTGGCCACCCTGTGACACGAGGGAGGGAGGGGCTGCTCATCTGGCCTCCACCACCACTGGCAGAAAGGAAGGCCTCCCGCCACAAGTGGACTCGGAGCTCTGCAAGTCTCAGTGGTGCCAAAGCCCTGAGACGGCCCTCAGCCCCCCTCCCCACCCCCAGGAAGATAAGGCTGGGCCACAGCTGGGCAGAGTTTTGAGCACAAAAGCCGGCAAAGATTCAATTCAAGAATTGGCTTGAATTGTGGCTGGTGCACGAGGGAGGGGTGGGATTCAGCCCCTCCTGCAGAAAGGATGAATTTCCGAATCGACTTGCAGTGCTGGGCTTGGAAGAGGAGGAATTTCTCCTCCCAAAAGGGCTTCAGATGGAGAGGAGGCCAGTAGCCTTTCAGCCTTTCGGGGCATCTGGACTTTCAAAGCGGGGGGGGGGGGGGGGGGGGGGAGGACTTCAGGCAAGGGGAAGGTGGCCTGGCTGCTGTCCATGGTGCTGATCCAGCAGAACGAACCACTGCTTCCTGTTGCTGGGGGGCGGGGGGGGGGGCTCCGAGATCCAGAGCTGGCTTTTGTGCTGGGTCGTGCAAGCCGGCCTCTCTCCGCCACAGACACTGGTGCCTTGTGTGGCTTTGCAGGCCTGGTGCACACGCATATGCCACGCAGAGAGAGGAAGCTCCATGGAGACCCCGAGCGCAGCCCTTCCAAGGGCTTGCAAATACTATTCCAATTACAGGGATTTGATTGTACTAATTATTGAAACTTGTCAGCCACTGCGGTGTCCTGGAATTAATTATGTTCAGAGTAAATGGAACCCAGAGGTTGATCAGGAACAAGCAGCCCGCCAGCGCCCACGGCTCCCCCCCCCCTCCCTGGGAGAATGCCTCCTGTGACGGCCACTCGGGGGAAAAAAACCCTTGCAGGATGACCCGGAGGGGGGCCGGCCAGCTCTGCATGGAAACAGCTGCCCCCCAAACCTCCCTCCTGCCAGCTGGGTTTGTGGGCTTTTCCAAATCCCCTCTGAGACCCCTCCCCTTTTCCGTGGGGAGGGCCTGTACAGATTCTGCCTTGTTCCGAGGGAAGGCCTGGAGCTAAGATCCCGGAGAGCCCCTGGCCTCTGTGCCCCAAACCCCTCATCCTGAGGCTCTGAGGTGCAGCAGCCGTGCCAAGGGAGGGGAGCCGCCTCTTTCCTGGACCAAGAAGCGCCCCCCCCCACTCCCCTCCGGTGGCCACTCTTCTTGGACTCGGAGTGGCCTCTGAAGCCAGCTGGAAGCAAAGTGTCCTTGGGTGGGAACTCTTAGAAAAATCCTCTGTGTTGTGCGGCATCTGCACCCCTTCCTGGCCCATGGGGCTCTGCCCACAGTCACCTCCAGAGTGGATTACTCCCAAGAGTTTGCACGTACATGGAGCTTCCCTTGAAGAGTGTCTGGAAATTCCAGCGGGTACAGAACGTGGCTGCCTTTACGTGTGCCTCTAGGATGGCAGGGGCCACGCCTGCTCCAGGCGCTTCATTGGCTGCCAGTTACTTCCAGGTGCGATTCTAGGTGCTGGACCTCACCTGGCCAGGTTATCCGAAGGGCCTCCTCTTCCCAATCCCGTCCACCCATCCCATCATGTCCACAAGGACAGAGTGCGGCAGGTCCCGCCTAATGAGACGCAGGCCAGATGTCTTCCCTCCTGTGCCCACCACCCTCTGGGACACTGGGACCTCCCCCCCACACACACACCAGGTGAGTTTAGCCCCGTCCCTGTTAACCTTCCAGAGGAAGAGGAACGTGGTTCTTCCAGCAACTTCGGGGGTCCCTGGGGAACCTGCAGGGGGGTTGTGTTGTGCTCCACAGACTCATTTTTATTATGTATCTTGTTTGTAGCTATTCTTTATAAAGTATTTTAACAGTTGTGACTCCGGTATAACTATTGATTGTCTGCCTCTCAGTTATATAAATAAATCGAGCTATATATGCAAATCGAGAAATAAATCCAGAAGGTGTCCTGAGTGAAGCCAGTTGCAAACCACGAATGTGCTGTTGTCAAGAAAAAGATGTTACAGACCTGACTTAATCACGGCTTAAGTGTGGGCAGACGTGACCTTGGAAAGGAAGCGGGAACTGCCTGCTTGCTGAAGGAGAAGAAATGGGGCTGTCAGGCAAGGGAGGATGAAACTGTCAGCTCAGCCAGAAAAGGCTCAGGGCTGCCGGAGGTGCTAAGCGATGGCAGGCGCCCTGGGAGGCCAAGCCGCCTCTCCCCAGCCTCTCCCTTCCGCTCTTCCTCCAGTTCAAGCCATGGTCTTCATCCCGCTACAACCGCCCTCACCCACGGGCAAATGCCACGGCCCCATCGGATCCTTTGTGATACGTATTGTGTTTTGCATAACTCCCTATGGGGCACCTCTTGCCCCTTCAGGCCTTTTGCCTCCGGTGCTGCAATACATCATTTCTCACTCTCCTCTGGCCACAGAATCCGAGAGCGTGAAGGGGCAAGAGAGGGTCTCAAGATCCTGCATTCTCTGGGATTCCCCACACTGCAGCCCACAGAAGCCAACCCCCTCCCCCCAATCTCTGTGGGAAAACCTCCAGTGTAGGGGAGGAATCTCCCAGCAAGGGCCACCTGTCCCACTGATCGACCGTTGTATCTGTCAAGAGCAAGTTCCTAAAATCTAACCTTCCGCAGCTTCTATTCCTTCCGTTCTGGAACAAGGAAGGAGGAGTCTGTATCGTTTCTGCCCCGTTCACCCTTTGCAACTGGATCAGGAGACTGAGCTCACTTTAACTCTTCCCACCTACCCACCTGCCCCCGCTCCAACATCTCCCCAGCCATCTCATGTGTGTGTGTGTGTGTGTGTGTATATGTATATGTGTATGTATGTATGTATGTGTGTATATATATATATGTGTGTGTGTGTGTGTGTGTNGACGGAGGAGACGGAGGAGGCCCGTGGGTGAGTGGGTAGGAAGGCAAGATAGAGGGGAATCATGGGTGGGTGGGGGCGTGGGTTGGAGGGGCAGAGTCGGAGGAAGGGACAGAGAGGGGGCATGTGGGTGGGTAGGAGAGAGAGAGATGGTCCTGCGTGTCCCCTCCCAAAGTGACCCTCTTTCCCCCCTCTTTCTGTCTTGCAGGTAACGAACCAGGTGAGCTGCTCCTCCGTTTCTTGAGGGTCCGCATCCCCCCCTCAGATCGGGGGTTTCCGGGTTGGGGGGGCGAGGAAGAGGAGGGCGGCGTGGGCAGAGGATGAGGAGGCGGTGGGCGATCGGCCCCATCTGCCCGTCCGTCTGTCTGTCTCCCGGCAGTTCCTCCGGCAATTGGGCATCTACCCCAGCTGGCAGTTCGTGGACGTCTATGGGGCCGACGCAGAGCTGCTGGGCTTGGTGCCCCGGCCCGTCTGCGCCCTGATGCTGCTCTTCCCGGTCACCGAGAAGGTAGGTGGAACTGGGGGGGGGGCTCTTCCCCCATCCCATTCCTGAGGATGGGGCTCCCGCTTCGAAAGAAGATCTCAATAGCAGGAAGTCCTCAACTTAAGAGACCAACTTAAGAGGTTGCTAAGGGAGAATTCTTCTTTAATGTTGCCCCATTTTGCGACTTTTCTTGCACACGGTCGTTAAAGTGAATCGCTATAATTGTGAAATGAGCCACCAGGTTATGAAGGGAACCTGGTTTCTCCGTTGACTTTTGCTTGTCAGACGGTCGCAAAACGGGAATCACGTGACCCAGCGACCGTCATAAATGGGAGGCAGTGTCCAAGCATCTGAATGCGAATCACGTGACCATGCTTCAATGGTCATAAGTCTGAATAATGGTCATAAGTCACTTTTCCCCCCCAGTGCTGCTGTAACTTTGAATGGCCACTATCTGAACTGTTGTACAGTTGAACTGTACCTGTACAGTACAGTGAGAATAAAGCTGGAAGGGGACCTTGGAGGTCTTCTAGTCCAACCCCCTGCTCAAGCAGGAGTCCCCGAGGGTTTCTTCCATTTGGGAGTGCCAAAGGCTCCCCTGTCATCCCATCCATTCCGTACAGCCAGCCGCCCACCCAGCTGAGGATTCCCCCCCAGCTTCAGAGCTGGTGAGCATTCTGGAAATGCTGCCTCTGGAGGGTGAAGAAGTCCGCAGGAGGAGTAGTACCAGAGAGTCCTCGACTTACAATTATTCACTTAGTGACCGTTGGAAGTTAAAATGGCACTGCAGAAAGGGACTTACGACCATTTTTCATGCTTAACGACCGTTGCAGCATCCCCATGGTCATTTTGATCAAAATTTAGAAGCTTGCCAACTGATACATACTTATGACGGTCCCAGTGATCACCTTTTGCAACCTTCTGGCAAGCGTAGTCAACGGGGCAGCCAGATTCACTTAACAATTGTGTTACAAGTGATTCACTTAATGGTAGCAAGAAAGGTCATAAAATGAGACAAGTCACTTCATAATGAACTGCCTCGTTTTGCAACAGAAATTTTGGGCTCAGTGGTGATCGTAGGTCAAGAGTTACCTGTATTTGGATTCTGACATTTTCTTGTCTGCGGGAAGCAATGCATGTTAAAAAAGGGGCGTTTCCCCCTTGTAAATGTTCTCCCTTTGAAGCCTTTTTAGCATCTTCAAAGTGATAGCATGTTCAGGTGGGGCCCTGGGGACATTCATCCTCTGCGGTCCACTCAAATGTTCTGAGTAATGGGCAGAAGAATGGCTTTAAAGACTGCTAAGCAAAAAAGGGAAGTGGTGGCTCAGTGGCTAAGACGCTG